TTGTCATGCCAATGAATGGCACAGGGTAGAACATTTCCTACATTAACAAAGATTCTCTCTCAGTGTGCAATGAGCCATGAAGGTATAATATTGTCTCCGTCCACGGTAATGTTTGGCCCATATATACACTGAGGTTACTATGATTCAATTAAGCCTTTGATTGAGGCTGAAAAAATACAAATTGGCTACCAACGACATAAAGAAGACCTAAAAGAAACCAGAGACAAAGGCAGATAATCTACCAAGAATTTGATTGGCAGCTGGCTTTTTAGGGGAATAATATCTTGTAAGTACTGAGAGAAAATAACTGTCAACCTAGGATTGCATACCCAACTATATTACCTTCTAAGATTGATTATAAAATAAACATATTTTCATACAAAACTAAAAGCATTTACCACTAACCCTAAAAGATACTCTAAAGGATTGTCTTCAGAAAGAAATAAAACTATTTCACAAAAAGAAGGAAGGAGATGTTGGAAGGAATGAGGAGGAAAAAATTGGTACACATGTGGGTAAATCTCAACAAACAATAATAATAATAACAATGTTCAATAGGGCCAACACTTGGAAGGACTTAACAGAGAGTTGAAATTTGAACTTTAGCCTGTATTTTTTGTGAAAATATTGAATCTGTTTGAGCTGGCTAGTAATCATCTCAGGGATATAACTGAAGCTAGTGGTAAACTGGAAATAGCAATGGTGTTATGTAATTTAGTGGTGCTGCATGTTAACCCAGGGCTTGACGGGAGAAGGCAGTCAGGCGGCTCTTGTTAAATTGAGTTAAATTGAGCTGATCTGTGCATTCCCACTACAGTGAGTAAGGTGTTCGTTTTGCCATTTGCTTTTGTTTGGAAGCTGTTATAGAAGCATTAACTTGATAAATTGGAGTACACAAAACAAGACAGTAGGAGTCTCTTTTGCCATTCAAAATGCCATGTTAAATGCCTTGTAATTGGTTTAAAATAGCAGAGCTTTTGTTGATTTTCATCTCCAATAAAGGGTAAGAATTGGAGGTATATTGTGATATGAGGGGTTAGTTACATTCGTATGAAAAAAATTCATGAAAGTGACAGTTGCTAGACATGTAAAATGGAGGAAGATTGTGGAGCTGCTTTTCCTGAGGTTGTGACAAGTAAATACCATTCATCTGTCAGGACTAAATTGAGGGGTGCTTTGTCAGACACAGTGGGGTAGATGTAAAGAACTAATAGCAATCTGATTTGCATGCTTTCTGGATAGTACACTATGCTATTCATGAAGAATAGCTTATATTATTTGGAGAAAGTATTTGCAAATTCTAAATTTTTTAGACTAAAAACTAGGTTTGATGGAAACAAGACTGGATGAGGATGAAGAGATTTGTGATTGACTGACAGTTTGATGTCAGGCTGTTCCTAGTCTCCCGGGGACACTGCAGTATTCCCATGGGGCTAAGACTGGCACCTCTCTGGCTGTGTGTGGAACTCAGCCTGGTTCCCAGACCCTGATTCATTCTCCACTCTGCGGCTGGAGCCGCACCACAGGACCCACACCCGTGGGCCCAGCTTTGCCACAGCCCACGCCTGTGAGCACTTCTGTGTCTCCTTAAAACATTGTGTCCCACATCTCATACCTGATGGGCCCCTTCTTTTCTTCTGCCATTTCCCTCCCTTTCACTGCCAAGAGTATAAACTGATCCTTAGAGCTCTACCTGGAGGGAGGGCCCTGCTACCTGCTGACAGGCTCTCCTAAAGCCAGCCCCTTTTCTGCTGGAACTTTCCACTCTGGCCTTCATAACCACACTCTGGCGCCTGTCAATGTGGTCTGCTCTCTACCTAGGATTTCCCTTACACCAACTGCTAGACAAATTGCCCCCTGAGCATGATTGCCTTGTTATCTCTGGAAACTGAGTTTTGTCTGCTCTACAAGAACTGCTTTCTGCTTCTGCAGTCTCCTATGACTGTGCATACACTGAAATAATGGACTGCTAATCTTAGTGATCTATCTTGCGTTGCAGTTAACCAGACTATCATATTAATGGTATGAAAGACATGTATGACCTTGGGAAGCGGGAGAGTGTAGTAGTTAAGAAGGTAGATCCTAGGGTTAGGCCACTTGGATTCTAAATTCAGCTTCACCATTAACTATCTAGGTGACGTTGTTAAGATTCATAAAGGGTCTGACTTTACCATACTGTACATGCAGGCTAGCAAGTTAGTCTGCCACAGTCTCACGGATGTTGACAGAAGACATGAGACTCCTGGATCAGTGACAAAAAACAGTATGTACAACAATAGCAATAATTTGAGCAGCAGTGTCTGCTGGTTCCCTGACCCTGATAACAGCATATATATTAGATTTCATGATAGAAGAGGAACCTCAAATGTAAGCAACCCAAATCTTTCACAATGAACAGTGAGCCTGCCTGAGCTCTGTCTAGAGGGAGATACTGTCTTTATTATACTGGATGGTAAACACTTCTGCTCTTTGCTCTGGAAGGAGACAGTATCTCTATCTTTCAAGGATGTTCATTGTATAAGCATTCCCAAAAGATACGGCCAGTGCCTCTTGTTTGCCAACCGTGTGGAAACATAAAATATCTGTAGAGAATTATCTCTCAAGAATTTTGGGTAAGTTCTTAAAGCCTCAGTTCTCTCATCTGCAAACATGGATTAACGGTAAAACATAAATGAATATAAAATAGATATAATGCGTATACAACACTTAACATCACCCCTACACGTAGCATCATGCCTGACACATTGACAGAAGGGCTTTGCAAATGTTAATTGCAATTGTAAATTATTGTTTCTTGAATAAGGTGCAAGTATGTTTACTGAATTCTTTGTTTTCTCTAGTAAATAGAATATTAAAGCTCAGTGATGTTTCACATTATTTGAATCAGCAAAGATTAGAACTAAAGAAGACCATACACCTGCTATTTACAGTTAAGAAAATACGTTCAAGAGGTTATGTGATTCGTTGAATTTCAAATTAAAAAAAACTGTAAAAATGACAATGATCATTTGATTTAAAATTAATATTCTTTTTAATTAAACATAATACCTGGAACGCAATAAATATTGGAATTACAAATGAAGTGAAGCAAGCCTATGATATATTAGAAAACATTTCACATGTGCATTTGGTCGTTCTCTTCTTCTTACTTGCTTGACTTACCAACCACCTTAAATTTGTCCCCTGAAGGCATAAATAAATAAAAGTGAAAAGTTAAAATAAGTAACCCATATCTCCTCCTCACTTTTATCCCTGTTATAGTCACTGTCTCCATGGCAGAAAAAACAAAACCTCCAGACAACTCAAAGGAAAGTGCTTGCTGTATGTGTAGGTGATATTGAAAGTGGTCCCATTCTGCCCAAAGGCAGGGAAATTCTAGTGAAATATCCCGCAGCTTTATGCCAACATCTTTATGCTGCCTTATGGACAAGCTTTCTAAGGCATGAGGGGGAGTAGAAAGAAAGGGGAGAGTAGGGAGGAACAGAAATAACATCTAGTTCCAGAAGACAACATGTGAAAATCCAGGGAAGGAGTTTATCCCAAAAAGATCTGCAAAAATCATTGATTTTTGTACCTCTTCTTAATTCTGATTCCATTGTTTTTCTGTTTTCTTTAAAAGTGAGGTCATAGCTTTAGTTTCTATATGGCACTGAAATTCTTTCCAGGACCCTAGGTCAGAGTTGATCATGCCCAGGTAAGCAGAAAGCTTTGAATAGGAAATTCAGTGATAGGGAATGTGAATTGCCCTTCATCTTTTGTCTACCTCAAATCCTCTTCACAATTACCTTACACGCCAGGTGATTCTGTTCTGGATGTCCTGGGTGCCTCACAAGTACTTCTTGAGTTGGTGGAGGCTGCAGTCATCCCTTACCCATGGTGCGCACTGCACTGCCCTCTGTTGGAGACAGCAGGAGTTGCTCTATGCCAGGGCTTTGTACCTCTTCCTAGGGCACCATTGTGTGTGCAGGAAGGCGCGCGCGCACGTGTGTGTGTGTGGGGTGGGGGGGCTGGGAAAGAGAGAGAGATATATAGAGACATAGAAACACTATGATATACACATGCTTTTTTCCCTCTTGCTTTAGAGAACTCCAAAGTATGTCACTTGTTTCATCTACATTGCGAAGAATTGAGGGAAATAGTTCTTTCAGTTTTCACCTGGAGCATTCTCTCTCTCTGGAATCAGAGATTCTGGAGATGAATTGTTCTGAGAGTGCCAAGCGGTAGTGAAAATCCCTGTACCTAAACCCCCATGATGAGAATGTCTTTGTTAGGGTCGGGCCCATCACAGCTGTGTGCTTCTGCCCATAGGAGGACTAACCCTGGGCTCCCAGCCTTTCCTCATCAGGCTTCTGCAGAACCATTCCACCAATCTGACTTGTGTCCAATTATGTCTACACAGTGGCGGATACAATTCGAGCTCTTCTGTAGAAGGCTTCCAAGCCTGCTGACCCCTGAGTTTCCACTGGGCCCATCCTGAGGGGCATGCTTAAATATGATAGCCGATAGGTCTAGAATGAAGCTGAAATCCCTGCTACAGATGTGAACTGTATGCCATATACATATGGTATATGCCATATGCCAACAAAAGAATTGACTTATATCCCGCCCACCTCCAAATGTGAGTATGGGCACATGCTTTAAATTCCAGGTATATCATGGTTCATTTATTTATTTATTCTTTTTTTAATAATCAAAGAAGTAATACAAGCTGCTTTAGGCACAGTTCCTATGTCACAGGCCTCATAATCTGTTGCTTCACTTTATGTCTTCATAGATGTGAATTCTCTAGTTAAGCTTGATTTACAACATCTTTTAGATAACTTTGAAAAATATTCATTCTGAAGTTAAAATACTAGTATCAATAACTCTCTGTACTCAATCTCTATAGATGCACATAAAGTATTCCAATCAGGCATATACAGGAAGTGTGGAATTTAGCCTAGCAAGGGATGTATCAGTGTTCTTAGGTTTTAATGTTCTTACTGCTCTCTTTGTCTCAGGTTATGCAGATGTATCTTCCATTTTGTGGAATCGCCATATCTAACGCTCAGCTCTTTGCTGCCTCAAGGAAAGAATATGAAAGAAGCAGAGTGAGTAGAAAACAACATTTTGTTGACACTCCTCAATACTCTCTGTCTTTCTGGTTTCTGTAAGTCATTATGTCTTTTAAAAACAGTCAATGAATGATCTTTGAATAGTCCAAGAATCTTTTTTATTTGTATAATTCTGCAAGGCTGTGGTTGAAGATACACTTTAAGCAATAAGCCCAAATGAAAGTGGATGCAAATTATCTGTTGTTATTTGGGGGAAGGGGTATAAACTCCTTTCAAACAGGAAATTAATATCACATCTGTACTGTAAGGCAGCAGATGTATCCTTGCTAACTTGTGGCTTTGAAACAATAACACAATTTGGTGATGCCTTTATAACTAAATTCCTTTAAGAAGCAAGCTAGTACCCCCACCTCCCAGATTTTATTTTTGAATTGTAAGGATTTCTGAAAGTACATGTCACTAGATACTTGGAACAATAATGCAAACCCTACTTCATAGTATTATAAAGAAACACTTAGATCTTTTATACTTTCATGAGCTATAGAACTAAGTTGTGAAAAAGGCAAAGTCTAGCACTCAAAAATTGCTACATTATCAAATAGAGATTAAATTATATTAGACTCATTCTACTTTTAAATATAGAAGGATTACTGTAACAACTTAGAAATATATTTAACAAAAAGATGTTCAAAAAGGTTGGAAACCCTCAGTTAATCTGGGCATCAAGTTGATTAAAACTTCACTTGCTAATTATTATGATTTATGGATTTTTTATCAGTAAACAGATAAACACAGTTGACTACTACAGCCATGGTTCTTAGCATGGCATACACATCTTTTCTCTGCTTTGGATCCTCTTTTCATCCTTTGTCCTATGTCTTACCATGCTCCTTCTTTCATCTGGCACTCCAGCAATATGGTCCCCAATTTCCAGCAAACAATCTGTTTCATTTGGTCATAACTTTATCCATATTCCTCCTTCTGCCTTCAATGCCTCAAGTCAATTCTACCATCTGTCTTCCACATTCTTCAGGACCTAGCTCAGCCTTCTGATTAATCTTTCCTTCTTCACTTATGGTTTTGGCTTGTATCTACTGCCATTATTCTATTGTGAATACTTATCACACTGTATTATGATATTTAAGGAGGGCCCTCCTCTCCAACTACATTATGAACTCCTTAAGGGACACTTCATGTATAATTAATCTTTGTATTCTTGTGTATGGCACAATTAATTTATTCATTCAACAGTATTGATTGTGTAGTTCCCTTCACGTGCAGTCTATCCAAATCCCTACCCTTATGGAACTTACTATTCAATGAGAACAATAGATAATAGATAAGAAAACAAATTTTTTAAATTGCATATTATGCATAGCGATAAGTACTGCAAGGAAAATAAAGTGAGATAGAGGAATGAAGGGTTGAGGAAGGGTAGGTTGGGAGGATGTTTATTTTAGAGGGTGATCAAAAAGGTCCCTACAGGGAGATGATCTATGAGCAGAGACTTGAATAGAAAGGAGAAAAGCCACACAAAGTTCTGGGGAGAGCATTTCTGGCAGGGGAAATACCAAGTACAAAGGACTTGGGACAGGAGAAAACTTGGTCAGTGTGTTTAGAGAGCAGAGAGAAAGGGGGAGAGAGAAAGGAAAAAAAAAAAAAAATGAGGGTATGGAGGCAGACCAGATGGTAGAAAAGCCTGTGGGGAAGGCAAGGGCTTTGGCTTTCATCCTGAGTGCAGTGGAAAGCCATTAGGAGAGTTTGAGCTGAGTCTGACTGACTTTTAATACAGTTCACTCTGGCCTCCCTGGAGACAATTAACTGGCTGGGAAGGGAGGGAGAAGGCTGAAGCAGCAAGAGGACTTAGGAAAGAACTGTAATGAAGCAAAAAAAATAGGACTAGGGCAATAAGTGACAGATTTCCTCCAAAATCGGTGTTGAAATCTATGGGGTTTGCTGATATGGGAAATGAGTGAAAGACAATTTTGGCTTGCACGGCTGGCAAGTAAACACTTGGATACAGGATTCTAAAGTTTTGAGGAGATATCAGGGCTGGAGATTGAGATTTGGGAACCAGCAGCATATAGAGTGTATTTAAAGCCAGGGATCTAGCTGGGTTAATTTAAGGAAGAATATGCAGATAAGAGAAGGGAAAGGTCCAAGGACACGCCCGGGAACAAAAGGTCACTAATGTAGATGTCGGGGTGATGGATGCAGCAAACCACCATGGCACATGTATACCTAGTAACAAACCTGCACGTTCTGCATATGTACCCTAGAACTTAAAGTATAACAATAATAATAAATAAAATTTTAAAAAGATCATTTTTAAAAGGCCCACGGAAGAAAGAGAAACAAAATGCAGATGCTCATTTCCTGGAAGGCAAGTGACATCAAGAAGCAGGGCCTATTCAACTGTGTGAAATGCTTCCATTATCTGTGAGTTGGATATTACCTTAGATTTTCTTCTCTTTTTCGCCCATCCTGGAGCTGGTCCGCATTATGATTTGTAAAACTTCTATCACTCGTTAATAAAGCAGCAATTTTAAATTAGAACCAGTAAGATTACTATAATGTGATTTGTCAGTGCAAGACTCAAGAGGCACAACTAGTTTTTCCTCTGAGATAAATGTTCTTGTATATGGGCCACAGAGGCTCTCTCCATGCAATCACAACAAATTGAAAAGTTAAATAATTGTTCAGTTAATATGATCCATCTGAAGAAATAGTCCAGATGATTCAGGAAATAATGTGCTCCCCATTAATAACAGGGCATTTTGCTTGTAATTACTCAGGCAGTTGTCTCATTTGTAACGTTTGAACATGAAATTATTATGCATTGACCCCTAAGAGATTTGCTGTCCAAATGCCAAATATCAAGATTCACTTAGGAGTTTTTCCTGCTTTCGATGTTCCTCTTTGCTTTGGGATCATGGAGCAATATGGTCCTTACTCTGTTCCCTCTTTCTTTAGAGATAATGTAAGCACCCAACGGGTTCACCTTGCAATAGAGAAAGAGTAATTCACAGAGTCGGCTGTGCTGAAGACCAGAGTTTTATTGTTACTCAAATCAGTCTCCCCAGATCAGAGTTTTTAAGGATAATTTGGTGAGTGGGGAAGCCCAGTGTGTAGGAATCCTGATTGATTGGGTTGGAGATGAAATCATAGGGAATTGAAACTGTCCTCTTGCACTGAGTTAGTTCCTGGGTGGGGGGTGGGGGTCACAAGATCAGATGAGCCAGTTTATTGATATGGGTGTTGACAGATGTTCCATCAAGTGCAGGGTCTGCAAAATATCTCAAGCACCGATCTTAGTAGCAGTTTAGGGAGAGTCAGCTGCATGACTTGTAGCCTGCAGCTGTATAACTCCTAAACCATAATTTCTAATCTTGTGGCTAATTTGTTAGTCCTGCAAAGGCATTGTCCCCAGGCAAGAAGGAAGTTTATGGACGAGTACTGTGGCTCACACCTGTAATCCCAGCACTTTGGGAGGCCGAGGCGGGTGGATCACAAGGTCGGGAGATTGAGACCATCCTGGCCAACACAGTGAAACCCCATCTCTACTAAAATACAAAAAATGAGTGGAGTGTGGTGGCGCGTGCCTGTATTCCCAGCTATTCAGGAGGCTGAAGCAGGGGAATCTCTGGAAACCAGGAGGCTGAAGTTGCAGTGAGCCAACATAGCGTCACTGCACTCCAGCCTATTGACAGAGTAAGACTGACCCCATCTCAAAAAAAAAAAGAAGAAGGTTTGTTTTGGAAAAAAGCTATTATCATTTTTGTTTTAAACAATATACTATAAACTATGTTCCTCCCAAAGTTAGTTCAGCCTATACTTAGGAATGAACAGTGACAGTCTGGAGGTTAGAAGCAAGATGGAGTTGGTTAGGTCTCCCCAGTTATACTTTTGCAATGGTGATTTCAAAAACTCTACCCAGGATATTTGGTCCTCTTTCAATCGCTCAGTGAATTGGATTCATTTCATGAATCTCTTAACTCATTCAAATGTTTTTTTTCCTTTTCTTCCTTTTTTTTTTGAGATGGAGTCACTCTACTCTGTCACCCAGGGTAGAGTACAGTGACACGATCTCAACTCACTGCAACTTCTGTCTCCCAGGTTCAAGCAATTCTCCTGCCTCAGCCTCCTGAGTAGCTAGGAGTACAGGCATGGTCTACCATGCCCAGCTGATTTTTTTATATTTTTAATAGAGACAGGGTTTTGCCATGTTGCCCAGGCTGCTCTTGAACTCCTGGCCTCATGTGATCTGCCTGCTGCAGCCTCCCCAAAGTGACGGGATTATAGATGTGAGCCACCACACCCAGCTATTCAAAAGCTTTTCTACCTGAATAGATTCAGAGAAGAAATTTTCACATTTCAAATGGTTTCAGGACAAATTAAATTCATTATTGAAGTTGAAAATTAGTCATGTCCCTGAGATGATGGTCAGCACCATGATGAATAGATGTGAATTTCACAATTCATGAAATCCTTTTGTGAGAGGTCAGACTTCAGATTGCATCTCTTTCTACATTCTATTGAAGCAAGTGCCCACTGGCCAGTTCACTGACTATGTAATTTTCTGATTGCTCCCTGAGAGAAGCATAATATCTACCACCTGCACATAATCTACTATTCTTAAATCTCTAGAAACATCCATGCCATTAAAAATTCCAAACAAATATTATTTCTTTTTTATTTTTCACAAATTAGCACCTGACCTGAGCAAACAAACATTATTTCGATGCAAAAAATTGCAGCTAATTTCTTAGCTGGAGAAAATCACAGGTTATTACAATTTAATTTTTAAATGGTTACACAGTTTTCAAGTTAGAACTTAACATTTTTTTTCTAAGTTATGTGCTTTTCATTCTGCTGTTTAAAAAAAAATTAATGTGTTTTCTTTCCTGATATGTAAGTATCTATATATTCTCCTGGACAGTTTGGGATAAAGCAGTATTTCCTCTTGTGTAGCGGAATTAAGGAAGCTATATATGTATGTGTGTACATATATTTATTTATTTATATATATTTTATATATATGAAGGTATTTATTATCTATTTATATATGTAATTTACATATTATATTTAGCAAAGACTAAATGTAAATTACATTTTATATATTTATTTAAGAATATGAACTTTTTTTTTTGAGAAAGATTCTCGCTCTGTTACCCTGGCTGGAGTGGTGCAATCTTGGCCCACCGCAACCTCTGCCTCCCAGGTTCAGGTGATGCTCCTGCCTCAGCCTCCCCAGTAGCTGGGATTACAGGCACCCACCACCACACCTGGCTAATTTTTGTATTTTCAGCAGAGATGGGGTTTCGTCATGTTGGGCAGGCTGGTCTCAAACTCCTGACCTCAGGTGATTTGCCCTCCTTGACCTCCCGAAGTGCTAGGATTATAGGTGTGAGCCACCACACCTGGCCTAAAAATCTGAACCTTAATTAGCATTCATCTCTGTAATTCTTTCAGAGTTATGTAAGGGATGTGTATTTGTGAAGATGTTGAAAGTTTGACCAAGAATCTATTTCTTCCTGATAGTGAGGAAGAGCTGCTTTGTAATTTTCTGAATCAATGTGCTTTGGAGATATTCACTATTTATAAAATATTGGGTTTATACCTGGTTGCATTGCAGAAAAACTACTGTAGGAGAGGGGAAATGCCTATAGTTAATGATTACATGATCCCTGTGTCAAAATGAAATATTAATAATCAAAAGGATCAGGCTGGGTGAGGTGGCTCATGCCTATAATCCCAGCACTTTGGGAGGCCGAGGTGGGCAGATCATGAGGTGAGGAGATTGAGACCATCCTGGCCAACAAGGCGAAATCCCATCTCTACTAAAAAGAAAATACAAAAATTAGCTGGGCGCAGTGGCAGGCACCTGTAATCCCAGCTGAGTACTCAGAAGGCTGAGGCAGGAGAATAGCTTGAATCAGGGAGTTGGAGGTTACAGTGAGCCAGGATCTCGCCACTTCACTTCAGTCTGGGGACAGAGCGAGACTCTGTCTCAAAAAAAAAAAAAAAACTTAAAAATTAGATAAATAAAAAGGATCAGAATCTAGTTTTGAAGAGCTTATTCAAGTGAAAACATGGGAATGGCCAATCCGGGAGATGGAGACTCGAGAAAAATGGGGTAAGCATTCCAAAGTTAAAAGTTAAGCCCTTGCTTCTATAGGCACAAAGTAAAGAAATTTGACAGGATTTCAGCATTTGCTATACAAGGCTGGTTTATGAGTTATAACAACATAATTAGATACAGTTTGGTTTTTTTTTTTTTCTATGCAGCTCATTTTCTTCTCTTTATAGCTGGTTTTCATTTTTCTTTCCAATTTAAAAGAGTATATTTAACATTCCATCTTAAGGCAAGGTGACGAGCATGGGGTCCTTGTGTGCGAAGAGTAAGAAGGAAGTTAGTCTATAATGAAGATCAACAGAGAAGAGGGAAGGAGTCCTCTCCGGTGCTCTTTAGTAATTTTCAGCATTTTATAAAACAATGTTGGTAAGGAAGAAGGCTAATCTATAGTCAAAGAAACAAGAGTTATAGCTGCCTTGGTTACTGCTGCCTCTCAAGTGACCTCCCCCCTCCAACAATCATTGTCCTTTAAGACTCAAAATAATCTAGAGTTCCAATAGCTTAGGTTTTGAATTACTTATTTTCACACCTGTTACAAGAACTAGCTGTATTCTCAAGTTGTATTTTGCAGTTTAAGTATGTGTTATAAAATTGAGTGATGGAAATATGTCAAAACAATTGTAATAGCTTTTAAAATTAGCTACACAAAAAGATTTATTATATTTTATTAAAGCAAATACTAAATTAAATTGTAAGAATAAAAACAACATGTTTTTCAGTTTTACACCCACCTAAATACATCTGTTTCATCTTTTCTAGGCTTTGCTAGAGGTGGTTAATGACCTCTTTGAAGAACAGACTGACCTGGAGAAAATTGTCAAGAAAATAATGCATCGGGCCCAAACTCTGCTGAAATGTGAACGCTGTTCCGTTTTACTCCTAGAGGACATCGAATCACCAGTAAGTTACTTTTTATCTTTTTAAGTTGAAGACTATGTGAGTGGAATACAGTTGAGTTTATTTATAATTAAGCTTGTGAAATTGTGACTTGAATCACTCTCTTCATGACTCTTCTAACCATGAGGCAAGTTTTCATAAAACTTTTTATTTCTTTTATGTGTATTTCATTCTCATTTTGCAGTCAACTTACAAACATAGACTTTTAAGCTAACAGGGACTTTAGAGATGTATCCCAGCCCTTTGTAATTACAGATGAAGGAACCAAGGGGTTTAGTGGTTCGCCCAACCTCACACAGCTCTGTTAGAAGATAAACTCAACTGTCTGTCTCACATTTTATTTACCTATGAAGGGGAAGGCCCTCAGCATTTTGTCGGGTGGATTTCAGCCCAGACAATGATCCATGGCCTTCTTAAGGTGAGGAGGAAGCAAGCAAATGAGTGGAGATTCAGTGCGCTTAGCTCTTGGAGCCCAAACTGGAATCAAGCCAAATGGAGTGGCCAGCTGTAGCTGGGCTGTTCTTTGCAGCAGGTTTGTCCTGCAGAGGCTTCCAAGATCTTTCACAGCTGCTGTGGACTTGTGAATTTTGGCACAGAGTAGCCTTACCAGGTGAAGGAGGCTGCTGTCCACTTCCCTGCAGGGGTTCCTGCCACTCCAGAGGGAAGCATCTCGTCCAGGGCCTCAGGGCTGCCTCACCGTGGCAATTTGTGGCCAGCTTTCTGGTTTTGTTAAGCCCTTTGGCTTTCAGGGGGAAATCTGCTGGGTAGATAAGCAACACTACTGAAATAATTATCATCAATCTAAATTCTTGAAAGTTAAATGTCTAAACCCTTGGCGCAATTTAATGTCTTTGCTGAGAATTCTCTTCAAACATCAGGAATTGTCTAGCAATTAAAAGCTGCTTTAATACCTGACAGAATGTTATTTTGCCACACTTTACTTACAAGAGATTATTGTCTTTGCCTTTAGGTTTGTTTTCCTCAAAGAATAAGAACCTTGGGGTAAATTTTGGAGATTTAATTATAAGTATTATAAGACTCACAACATTAAATTTTGAAAAAAATCTATGTCTAAAATGTTTAGGAGTGTTTCCTCAGATTTTAGCAGAGATTGGGGTTATTCTGTTTCAGTCAGTGTGGTTTACACTAACAATAGCCTGGAAAGTACCCTGTGATTGTATAAATCTCAGCTGAACCTTGGGAGAACACGCACACACACACCCCAATAGCCCATACTTATGGAGTGCTTCCAGAAACTTTCGGAAACATTTGCATTCTTTCAATCCTTACCTACGAGGTAGGTGTTGTTATCATCCTATAATAATTTTATAAATAAGGAAATAAGGTTCAGAAAGTTGAGTGACTTGCCAGTCACCTCCACTGCCTGACTCTAAAGCCCCTTAAAGGAATGGGAAGTGGTAGGGGTGCTCATTGGTACCTGGCAGGTTTCAGGGGCACAGAGAAGCCCTAATTAAACAAAGGCAGAAAGGGGCAACTGTTGGGGCTTTGGCTGCCAGGATTACCTGAGTCACCCCAAGGTCCCTGTGGGAGCAAGTGGCTGGGTATGAGGGTCTGGGGTAGGCAGGCTGGAATCTGGACACAGACAAATTCATTGTTTGCTGGCTCACTTGTAAACAGACATGAAAGCAACTTAAACCAGCTAAGGTGGTCATTCTTGCTAATCTAAGTTGAATTAGTTTTTATGGTGTGATCTAACTCTTTAGTAAATGACCAAAAAAATACAGATAATGGAAGTTGATATTGGATGTGGGGGCAGAGCTGGAGGGAACAGTAGAAACAGCAATATCTTCATGATATAAAGTAGGGAGATGAATGATCAAAAAACATCATCTAGATAGAGTAGATGGTACAAATGATAACAGTGCTGGCTGGTATTCTACTGAAAGTACAAAAGGCCTCTTTGCTATCACTGCTGAACATTCTAAGACTATAATGTTGGGACTGAAAATCCTGGACCACTCCTCATCAATTCTTTCTCCTCTCTCTCTCTTTTTTTTTTTTTTTTTTTTTTTTTTGAGATGGAGTTTTGCTCTTATCGCCCAGGCTAGAATTTAATAGTGTGATCTCGGCTCATTGCAACCTCCGCCTCCTGAGTTCGAGCGATTCTCCTGCCTCAGCCTCTTGAGTAGCTGGGATGACAGGCATGTGCCACCACTCCTGGCTAATTTTTTGTATTTTTAGTAGGGACAGGGTTTCGCCATGTTTCTTAGACTGGTCTTGGACTCCTGACCTCAGGTGATCCATTCGCTTCAGCCTCCCAGAGTACTGGGATTACAGGCAGGAGCCACCGCACCGACCCATTTCTTCTGTTTTTTTACCCATCCCCCTCCAAAGTGATATTGATGGAAAAACAAAATTCTGTAGAATATTTTATTTTTGTATTGTTTTGGTTTTCTGATTTTTAAAAATTTGATTCTACATTTTAATTGCTAATTTTATGTATTTATGGTATACAGTGTGAAGTTTTGATACATGTACCTATTGTGGATAATTAAATCAAACTAATTAACATATGCATCCCCTCACATACTTATTTTTTGTGGGGAGGACATTTGAACTTTACTCTTAGCAATTCTGAAATACACATTATTACTCACTGTAGTCACCATGCTGTGCAATAGATCTCAAAAATATATTCTTTCTGTCTAATGAAATTTGGATGCTGTGACCAACAACTCTCCACTCACTTTTAATTTTAGCCTCTGGCAACCACCATTCTATTTTCTGCATTTATGAGTTCAACTTTTTTCAATTCTACAAATAAGTGAGATCATGCAATATTTGTCTTTCTGTACCTGGTTTATTTCACTTAACACAACTTCCTTCAAGCTAATTCATATTGTTCAAAATTACACAATTTTATTCTTTTTAAAGGCAGAATAGTATTTTTAATGGATAATTGTTTCTATTACCTTGTGTATTTTACAGACTTATTATTGAAAGTTTCCTCTGTCATCAAGTCCCTCAAACGCCTCCAAAAAAGCATCTCTTCAAATATGAAACTCACTCCTTTTTTAAATTATTGTTGAACTTTGTGTTTTTTTTGTTTTTATTTTTTATTATACTCTAAGTTCTGGGGCACATGTGCAGAACGTGCAGGTTTGTTACATGGGTATACATATGCCAGGGTGGTTTCCTGCACCCATCAATCCGTCATCTAGATTAGGTATTTCTCCTAATGCTTTCCATCCCCTAGGCCTTCACCTTCCAACAGGCCCTGGTGTGTGATGTTCCCCTCCCTGCATCAATATGTTCTCACTGTTCAGCTCCCACTTATGAATGAGAACATGTGGTATTTGGTTTTCTGTACTTGTGTTAGTTTGCTGAGAATAATGGTTTCCAGCTTCATCCCTGTCCCTGCAAAACACGTGAACTCGTCCTTTTTTACGGCTGCATACTATTCCATGGTGCACATGTGCCACGTTTTCTTTATCCAGTCTATCACTGATGGGCATTTGGGTTGGTTCCAAGTCTTTGTTATTGTGAACAGTGCCACAATAAACATGTGTGCATGTGTCTTTATAGCAGAATGATTTATAATCCTTTGGGTATATACCCAGTAATGGGATTGCTGGGTCAAATGGTATTTCTGGTTCTAGATCATTGAGGAATCGCCACACGGTCTTCCACAATGGTTGAACTAATTTACACTCCCACCAACAGTGTAAAAGCATTGCTATTTCTCCACATCCTCTCCAGCATCTGTTGACTCCTGACTTCTTAATGATTGCCATTCTAACTGGCATGAGATAAGTCATAGTGGTTTTGATTTCTCTAATGACCAGTAATGATGAGCTTTTTTTCATCTCTTTTGGCTGCATTAATGTCTTCTTTTGAGAAGTATCTGTTCACATACTTTACCCACTATTTGATGGGTTTGTTTGTTCTTGTAAATTTGTTTAAGTTCTTTGTAGATTCTGGATATTAGCCCTTGGGCAGTTGGATAAATTGCAAAAATTTTCTCTCATTCTGCAGAGTGCCTGTTCACTCTGATGATAGTTGTTGTTGTTGTTGTTTTTAGTCCCCTCCACCCGCTGCTGTGCAGAAGCTCTTTAGTTTAATTAGGTCCCATTTATCAATATTAGCTTTTGTTGCTATTGCTTTTGATGCCTTAGTCATGAAGCCTTTGCCCATGTGTGGCCTCGATCACATTGGGGTCACCACCTGGGGAAGTCTGACCTGCAGACCCTGGCTACACAACGGATGAATGAATGCACTCTCACACCATTACAGTGTTTCAAGTGGGCTAGGGGTGGCCGTTGGCTGCTTTCAGAGGGTGAAATGCAACCAATCGACCCGGACCCTCTGACCATCACACATTTATTCCCGCAAGATGTTACAATAGAGATTCTAAGTTAACGCACTTGTGGATAATTAACATGGTTAAGAGAATGGTTTTACGACTGGTAAAAGCTTTAGGTTCTGGGGCCCAGAGTAAATACTATTAACAGGTAATTTCCCCTTTGATCTTCTCTGGAGAGACCACCCAGCACAAAATTAACATGAGTAAACAGAGTGGAGACAAATGGGTGTGGGGTAAGGCCTTTTTGATTGGCTCTCAATCCGTAACTTAACATGATGGACCGGCTACCTTCAGCCTGTCCCAATAAAACCTTTCAGCCTTCCAAAGATTTGAGACTAAAATCTGTAACTTTCTCTACGTATTTTCTGTAATATTTTGCCAACCACCTCGAGTGAATAGCAACATTTCCTCCTTATTCTTTTGTTACTAAAATTAGGCCCTGTTGTTTGCTGGCCACTGATGCGGTTAGCTGTGGATCTGTCAGGTGAGGCAGTCCTTGCTTTTATTCTGGGTTTGCATCCTAGGGTTAACAAATAACATAAGACAATTATGAAAACAATTAATAACAGTTTTTTCCATTTAAAGTGTGACTCCTAGGAATGGGGGTTTAACCAGAAGAACTGACCTTGCACACCTTTCCATCATTTTTGGCCAGATTATCTACAAAAGCAGCTGTTTG